TATATATAAAACAAAATGTTTTCAATTTTAATGTTTTATTTAGATTACAAAAATAAATCGTAATAAAAATAATCCTATTTATGATGTTTTAAAAAATAAGACCTACGAAAGGCTGATTTAAGACATTTTAATACCAATTAAGGCCTTAGTTTTATTTAGAAGAATTCAATGCCTTTTAAGACTTTTTAAGGAACCGTGGGAACCCTGGAAATAGGAAACGTGCGGCAACACGAATGGAGCACAGCTGGGAAGCAGTGCGATAATTTAATAGTTAAATAAGATAATACATATGTATCGCTCACATCATTAAATCAAACGCTGGGCCCTGGCATAATTACATGATGGAAAAATGTCAGAAAAATACCTCCTGAAAATTTGAGAGAGCAGATTTTCTGTCATTCCTTTCAAAAAGGATGTGGTCCTGCCTAACATATAACTGATACGTCAGTCTGGCTGACCAGGCTACCTCATCAGAGCTGTGTTAAAATTAACTAAGGGTTCTATTTGAACTATAAGGACTGGATGGATATCACAATGACCAGTTTGTGGGGCCACTAAGCTACTTCCCATTAGACAAATTCTCATGTGCTTTACTTCTTCACAAGATAAACTAGTATATCATAGACAATGCAGGCGTTATAATCACTACTTTCTTTTCTGGTATTAATCTTGTTCTGCTTATATGGTCAAGATAACGTTTTGTATGAAAAAATACACTGGACAAATCGGCATCATATGTTTTTCATTTAACGATTGTCACAGTGTCATGTTTCTTGGCCCACGACTGTGTTTGTTAAAGCATCGCTTGCAACAGGAACTTTACAGGGAATTGTTTGTGTTTCCTCTTCACCCCACAGGAGATGGAAACTATTTTCCCCCAAAAAAGCTGCAAAGTCACTGATTTTAAGTCAGACAAGCATATCACTGCAGGCATCGCTCCGAGTCCACGGAAAAAAGTAGCAGCTAAGATCCAGTATGGTTTAGTAAATAAAGCATGAAAACAAACGTATTGAAGTGCTTTTTCTGACAAAAACATTATTAAAGTCACAGGGAAGTCATATTTAAATGTTAAACCATTCTGGCTTAAACATGTATATAAATGTACTCTTTATCAGACAATATTGTCCCAAAAGGTAGAAACATCTATTTAAAAACAAGATCCTGTCTTAAAATCTGTGTTTTTTTTCGTTATCTTATGCAGGCTAGTTAGTTATACGTCAGCTTGTAAACCTAAATTTTGCCAATCATATATCAACGGTCATCTGTCAATTTTTTCGGTCATAGCATCTTGGTTCATATGTCGCAGCTAATATACGCAACCGTTGAAATAGGAAATAAGAATCATTCACTTTCCCATTGAGTTCCGTCCCAGTGTTCACAGGGATGGACGTCTGTGTGTTCAGCAGCGTAGAGCTAACAGAACTGGCAGCGTTGCGAGGCAAGGGCTCAAACATGTACGGCTGTAAAGGCTGATTTATACTTCGAAACTAGGTCGTCTGCGTAGGAGTCACACTGAACAAAAAGACGTCTCCGCCCCCTCTGCAGACACTCTGCTGCACCTCTCCCAAATTGTAGCTGACCGCAGACAGTGCCGCAGACAGGAGGACGGATTGTTTTGTTTTTATGACCGAAATTGCGGCAAACAACTCGTGAAGTTGGACCAGCTAGAAGAGCGAGGTTTGCGAGAAAGCTGGGACCCTTTTTCAACCTGGATCCCCGCTATTTTTCACCATCATGTCCCTCTGTTGTCGGACAAACCTTCTCTCACCTCGGCTGTATCTAGACGCACTTTTTATAGCTCAGACCACGCTTCAATACTGGGCATAAATCAAAAATGTCTGCGTCAAGCTCACTGTGACACACTGCTGCAGGAGTATAACCAGGCCTTAAGCCTTCTACACCAAACCAAGCTTCTGCCACCCTGGCGTCCTGTTCCACAACATCGCCGTCCCCGCTTTTCTCCTCTAAATAAAAAATGTCTGACGGAGGAGACTCATCCACGACCTCAGACATAAAACTCTCCTCCTCTTGCATGTTTCCTCTGTCCATAGCGTTCCTTGGCAGGGTTGTTTCTAAGTCACCAATTTAGTGCTACTTGGTCCCAATATAATTTCCCATTTGGAACCTACTAGCACTAAGTTGCTA